CAAACATTCCTGGTATATCGTATTAGATATTGTATTATTATGTATTGTATTAGTGATATTACTTTTATTTGAGTTTAATGTATTGTGTTTGATGGTCGAATTAAGTATTAAATTCTTCTCTTATCCAATGTCTTTAATTTTAAATCCTTAAAATCTTCTACATTATTATGCCATATATTATCTTATTTATTATTTTATTATTATTCCATATATAAACTTATCTGTTCTAATTGTATTATAATTTATAGAAGGTTTTTGAACAAGTCCTTTCAAACATTATTGTTTTCAAATGTTTCTTGCATTTGTTTGCAGTGGTAACGGATTCAGAAGGATGAGGGAGTGAGAATTTCCAGCTGAAATTTCTTTGTAGTGCCAAATAGAAAATTAATTTTTTTTTCATTGTTATAATTTTTATTTTGTTTCTACAACCATCTGAGATAAATACTAAAACAATTTAAATGTGTTCTCTTTTTAAATTATGATGTGTGAACTTCAGCTACTAAATGGGTCGTTAATTTCCAAAATGAACCTAATCATTATTAAGAATTTTTTCAGGAAACATGAAAAACTATATTTTCTATTCCAAAGTAATATCAAAACCAATATTATTTCAAAAATTAAATAAAAAATTCTTTATTAGTGGAATCCACTGGTTTTAGCACCAGTGACACGGTTGAGAAAGTAGCTCAGGGATCTCTTGGAGTCCTGCTTTTCCTTATTTAGTTGGAGGGAGAAGCCTGACTTGGTGTTCCCTGTCTGATTGTATATAGGTGTGACTGTGTTTTTAATTTACTTATCTTTAGGTTATTTTATTTTTTATTGTTCATAGTTTTTTATTATTATTTAGTTATTATTTTACTTTTGTTAATTTTATATTTTCTGTATATATGGTCTGAATGTGTTCATATATCATTATAATTATTGTCCACATGACAGATTATTATATTTCTAAATAAATATTGGAACATAATTTCAAAAATCACTGATTATTCCCGTAGTAATTAAAAAATATTGAAACTTAAAGAGAGTCCCTTATGGAAAGAAATATACCTCAAAACATATTATTAGGGTTTGTTTTCGAGATAAAATAAAAAAATAAAATCATAGATTCGATGGGAGGGGAAGTTAAAAAATTTTCACTATACCAAAAATTAACTTTTTGTTAACAAATAGTACAATAAAATTAATTTATTTTTCATTTGAACGAAATGGTTAAAAATTTTATTTTTTTTTAAGAATGCTTAATAAATACAAGTTTCATTAAATTATTTGAACAAGAGGCTGGTATCAAAAATAAACTTATTTTGAAACCTTTTTTTTTGTAGGTTCATTTTTTGAAAAAAAAAAATTGCATCATCGGATAAATTGGGTTTTTTTACTTGGGAATCAATACGTATCTCAATTTCAATAAAAATTAACAAGAGTTCTCTTTGGAAATAAGTTACTCAAATGTGAGCACTAGTCAAGAAAAAATATATAAATTAGTACTCCTGTAATCCTACCGTTACTAAAAATAAAAATTATTAACTCCCAAATTAAGTTCTGAATCCATTACTGATTAGCATGTTACCTACTTATAAAACTTTTTTATGAAAATCTTTGACTTTTCCAGATTGGAACAATTATATGAATGCTAAAAGTGAAGGAATGTATTTTATTAGCAATTCTTGAGGCTATAAACATACTTTATAGTCTCAACAATTGCTAATTGAATATTCATGAGCATATTGTTAAAAAGTAATTTTCTTTCCAATTTCGATTTTTTTTTCTTACTTGGGATGACATTCAATTTTTTATTATCATTCCTGATTCTCGTAAGTTTTTGTAATGATGTTAAAACTGTGATTAGATTAAATTCTTTCTGGAATATACATTTTTTTTTTATATTCATTTATTAAATGAAGTTTTTGTTTATAATTGCCAATGACATATATGAGAAATATGTCACAATTATATTGATGCCTGCTGATTACATTTTATTTTATTACTCCTGTCCTATCATCCAATATAAACAGGTATGAGTTTGATAAAATGCAGTGAGATAATAACAGGGCAATCAAATGCTTTTAAACATCATTTTTATATTAAACTCATTTTATATTATATTAATGAAGTTTTAGGCGGATGTTAATAATTTGATTAAAAGGGGTCTGTACCTCGGACTAAAACAAATCATGATAATTATGACCTATAAATAACCCTAACCACACTCAGGTTGATATATTAACCACTTAACTTTATCTATATGCTTAAAATAGCATATCTTGATAAATAAAAAAAAAAAATTAAGGATTATTCCTAATAACAGGTTAAACTACATAAATATTTATAAATTAGACAAAATTATCAGAGTATTTTTAAAAGTATGTAATGTTTATTATTATAGATTGATAAGACTTTTTTATTTGTTAGACCCTTATATGGCCCTGGACACCTTACTTCCTTTTTCTCTCCCCTTTTCTTTAATAACAGACATAAATTCAGTACACAATAGCATTCAGAATTCTGAGAGATGAACAACTTATTCCTTTTAAAACAATATATTTTCTATAATATACAAATAATAACAATCCATATTATACAAACTATAATATCTATTTGATATCACAAATACAATCAGCATCAAACTAATATAAAAAAAAAAAGGGTTCAGTACTTAGTAAGGAAGTACTGTTTCAAAGCCAATGGTTGTGCAGGGAGGTGATTGGGCCAAGATCATGCTCAATCACCAGGTTTTCCCGTTAACTAATTGTTTAATTAAAGGTACTCAATTTCTTTATATATCCTGGATGTCCATCTCCCAGGGTCGATCCACAGCTGATAAAACAATAAATAATCACCTTTCATCAGCTGGATTCGAATTCGAACCTGAGTCGTTGAGCTTTGGAAGTCGATGCCTTACCCACTGAGCTACCTCACTCCCCAAACTAATATAAAACAATAATTTATTTGAACTTACTCATATCTTTTAACCATCAATAACAATAATAATAATGAACATGGCATTGTTACTTGTTTTATTATATGATATACAATTTTCCAACGACTCTGAACCATAGTTATTTTCCCTCAACTGCCTCCAAACAGCTAGAACTATATCACAAGAAACCCCTTTAGGATCTTCTTGGACTTATAAGCAGAAGATGTCTTAACAAGATATTTATTTTTACAAAACAGTCACTTTTCTTATGACATTTAACCCTTTCAGTTTAAATATTAACTTAAAAAAGTAAAGATAAAAAAAATTATATTATATTAAAAATATATTATTTTTTATAACTTCATATAAAAGCAAATTAATTATGTCTTTATTTTATAAGTATCAGGATGTTAACCTCACTAAAAGCAAAGCTTATAAATAATAAAATATTATTATTTTTGAGAATGCAAAACAATATCACTGTGAAAGACTCATCTGTTGTATTTTATAAACATGTGTTTTGTGTCTATCAGCTGTTTGCTCCGACCAATACTGACAGCTGCAAATTAATTAATTAAAAAAAAAAAGAAAACTCTAACAAAAATTATTAGTACAATGGAGCGTCATGTATCTAATGAAGTGAGGTTTCGTTGGTTCTCAAATAGCACTGGTGTTTTGGAATTAACATAATTTACTTTGAAAAACTTACATGTTACGTAAATGTTGAATGACCAGAGTGTTTGGAAAAAGTGGACATACTCTAGCCTTTGCAATTCAATCATTTAATGATTGGTAGTTATTTTCTTGATTAATTTTTACACAATTTTAGTTATAAAACTGTCTTCATTCTTCATGGTTTTGTTTCATAAATACGATTTATTTTTCTTTTGCCATGTCTTTCAGAATGGATGGGCTTAAAGTTTGAAGGAATCTCTTGCCTACTATTAAAGCATCCACTGTTGTGAATGGCCTTCCTGATGGTTACTCCGAACTAATTGCTCCTAACCATCTTAATCTCCTACCCTTCATATCATGATATTTATCGAATAGTTTCTTTATTGTTTGAAACCCTATAATACTTTATAGGGCCTTTTACTCCATTCATTCCTCCACTCTGATCCCAATTCACTCAGGTTATTGTGAGGAGAATTTTCTTTTCAAATCTTTCAATACTTTTTCTAGGGTGTTGGTTAGTGGCCTAGTCTCACAGCCATGTTATTAAAATGTTTTCATTATATTTGAGAACTTCCATTAGCTCTTTTTGATCAAATGAGCTGAAATTAGATATGTATAGTTGGTTTCTAAGTAGAAGAATAACAAAGAAGTGGGGAGAGAGGTGAATTTCAGCATCATTTCTTCATATTCCATTTGTTTAAGGTTTTAGGCACTTCTACAGTCTCTTCAATTTGAAATACAGGAGGCCATAGTTTTAGGTTAGTGCAAAACTGAACCTCCAGATTGATTAAGTAAAGATAAATTGAGGGAAAAAAAACGAGCCATACCCACGGAGATTAGGTGCTAACACTTGTTTTATTAACGGATGTTTTTATTCTTGTTATCAAACTTGTTAATAATTATTAGATTACAGTTAATTTAAAAAATAGCTATTTCATGTAACTATTAAATTATATATTTTTGTTTTCTTATCAAGTGTTTATGTTATTATACTGAATGATAAGAAAAAAAGTAAAAAAAAGAGTAAAGCCCTAAATATATATATATATATATATATATATATATATATATATATATATATATATATATATATATGTTTAATGATCTAATTGGATTCTACAGATTTTGAAATATAAAATCTAAAATTTTATAAAAATAAAAGACATATTGCAAAATAAAAAGTAATAAATAATTACATAACTGAAAATAAACCAAAAATAAAATTAACAAGAAAAATAATTATATAACAAGCTAATAAATATATATATATATTTAGCAGTAATTTGTTTGAATGCAGCTATTATTTAAAAGTCCTAGAAAAAGGAAAAATAACTTCATAATAAAGGAAAAAAACTAAAACTTTTATGCAAGAGTTTATTACAATTAGTCTTAAATCAGTCAAAATAAGTAATTGTATTCATAGTAGATAAAAGATAACAATTTTCATATCATGAATGAAGAGTTTGAAAAGAAGGTTGTAAAGTTTAAAAGTTCGTAAAAAAATAAATAATACTATTTTGTATGGATTTACATGTCTCCAAATTTTTATTATTATGAATAAATTAGCAGAAATAAACAATAGAAATGCATTATTATAAAGCATAATAAAATAATGTTAATCATTGTTGATAAAACGGGTGATGCAAGGACAAATTCTTGGATGCAACAAAATATTATGACAAGACAAATCAATCATACACGTGATTGGGAGAGAAAAACAAAACAAAAAGAAAACTGACATAATAAAGATAAGATAACTAAATAACTTAATGTTAAACACAAATTCTATCACCTCTCCTAATACTAAAACTAATAGAGAGAACATTAAAGAGAGAATAGAGAGAACATAACATATTTAAAGTTATTTCATGAGATTCATCATTAATATAATATTAATGAGATGAAATTAGAAAAAATATAATAGAATACAAATTTTGTTATGAAAATAGAAAAAATCCACCTTTAGATCACAGTTGCTTTGTATATAAATGCATAAATAATACTTCAATACTAAATTGATAAATAAATATATAATATTATTATGACTATATAATACTTTAATACTAAACTAAGAAAATATATAAAAAATTAGCTGTTAGCACCATTTAACAAAGAATAAACATGTTCAATTGTTTCATTAATAAAGGCATCAACCTCATCACTTGAGTTATTCTCAATGATTTGATCCCAATTATCAAAATCATCTAAACCGCACTCTGTCTCCTTATCATCAATACCTGGAATATAAAGTAACATTTATCAAATTTTAAAAATAAAAAGTTTATATATAACCTTTTTTTAAAAGTTCTTAACAATCAAATTAAAGGAGGCGGCACATATCAGATTTATGATCATAACTGTCTTAAGATATTTATTAAAAGTAGTTGATAACCTCTGTACAAGTCAAATTTTCCTAAGAGGTTCGGTATATATATATTTACTATCGGATCTATTAGTTACTTTTTTAAAAATAAAATATATTAAAGAAATAAAAACTAAGCCTTTGCAGCCTCCAATTAGTAATATAATGACAAAAACCAATACATACTCAATAAAATCTGGATTACATATACTTAATTTGTTAATTTGAAATATTTCGTAAAAATAATTAAAATAAAAAACTATTTAAATAATTAATCATTAAAGTCTTGAATCAACTGAAATCTATAAATCCAAGCTTGTTTACAGTAACTTATCGGAGTGATATCATTGTTTCTGTTAAAAAATATATGGTCTATATATTTAAACAAATTTCCACAAATCACCTTAACCTAAACTTAACACTGGATAGACAGCAATAAAATTGAACAATTATATTTTGTACGACAATATAAATTTCCAGTAACTAACATATTAAATTTATTTATTTATACAAAATATGGGTTTTTCGACCACCAGGATTATTTTCGTCCTATATTACAGTTTTTTTTAGATGAACCGGTACTAATATAACAACGGTGTATAACAAGACTAAAGATAACAGATACAATTTTGCAGTTGTTATAAATTTAGGAAATTAGAAAATAGCTACAATTAAATATTCAAGTAAGATTTAGTTAAAGTTAGATGAAAAAAAAAGTTAACAAAAACAATTAAAATTAAAAGTTAAAGATTACAAGAATAAAAGTTAAGAAGTACTATTTAAAAATCAAAATTTAAATTTGTAAGAAGAAAAGTTAAAAAGTACAATTGGAAATTAAATATTAGAAATTTCAAGTAAGATATCAAAAATCACACCTTACAACGATAGGGAAGAAATATTTCAAAATTTGTGAAAAAATGTTGAGGGTCAGTTATTTCAGGATCAAAATTTACTTTAAAAAAATATATTCTATATAAATAACTAAGTCATCATATGGATGTATCGTAAATAAATAATTAATTCAGTATAACTGATATTAGTTGGATTTTAAAAATAAGAGAATTATTATACCTTAACTACAGGAGGTATGTTAAACATGCTAACGGTCTCTGAACTCTTTGCGATTTGGAAGTGAGGGGGACATAGTGCCTGAAATTACTTTTTTTTCTGTTGGCACTACTGACCTTGTAGGTCTTTTGGCGCCCTAACAAGCCCACTCCATCTCTGCCTCTCTTGGGCTATTTCATTCCCTTTATCTGCACGCAGCTCTATTGTATCTTTGTTGATTAGATCTATCCATCTGCTTTTTGGCCTTTTGCAAACTACTGAGGCATTCATTACCATGCTACATTATCAAGCCTATCTTAACCTCCTTGTCTTCATATCATGAGATATTTATTGACCAGTTTCTGTAAGCAGCTCTTGATTTTTCTTTCTTCTCCATGTGTTAGTACTTTGATCCCTGATCACTGCTGTTATCGTTCGGAGGATTTTTCTCTCAAATCTTTCAATAATATTATCTAAGGCACTAATTAGTGTCCAGGTCGCACAGTCATATATTAGAATTAGCTTTATAATAGCATTGTATAAACTTAATTTGAGATTTTTCAGTTTTTCAATACCTTTGAAAAGGAAAAGAAAGCTCAGTTTGTGCTTGTTATATGCTGGAATATTTCCTAGCGTTGGTCATACATTGAGGTTATTGTGGAGCTGAGGTATTTGAATTAACTGCAAAAATAAATAAGTCATGGGCAGCAAAAATATATTTGGCAAGCTTAAAAAAAATTGTACACCCCAAATTTTAAATTTTTGTACTGATCCTGTTCACAGAACAGAGCTTAATCAAGATTATTTAAGTTAAAATTAGTTAAACTTAAATTTTTGTAATACAGTTAGTATTACTCGTGAGTATAGCAATTGTTATCAGAATGGAAAAGCGAATACAAATTGAAATTCAAGCAGAAAGAAAAAACAAAATAATAACGAACATACAAATAAAATAGAATAGTATAAAGAACCAAGTTGGAGTGAGTGAATAGGAATAATTGTTATTAAGTAAATAAATATTTGACTTACTTTAATTTAGTTTTCTATCATCTGTATATTTTGTAGTTAACCAAATGGCATTTCATCTTTCAAACATCTTTCTACCACTTAACTTCTTCCTTGTATTATTTTAGAACCACATATAAAAATAGTACACAAAATATCAAACAAGACAATTAATTCATTTTTCAATTATATAAATATCTATTTGAAAAATAAATTTCGAATCCACATATTGATTTCAACTATATAATTAGGCAGACTGAAATAATTGAAGAACACAGCAGGAACCTGATTGGTCTAGATTGTAAAGAAGCAGAATGCTACAATTTCTCAAAAAAGGGAAAGGAAGAAATTAATTTATGCTTGGTCTCTTCGACAAAGGTGATTCCTTGGCATATAAAGTAATATCATGAACTTGTTTGATAGATAGGATTGAAAAAGTGGTAATAGTGAGTAACATAGGCAAATCTAGTGGGGAGGAGGGGGGAGGGAGGAGAAGCTTTTGGGCTGAAATTCCCCAAAATGATAAAATGTAACCTTTTTTATGGTAAAAAATATAAAAAAATTATCTCTAAAAGTATTATTGTTCGTGTAATTACATTTAATAGGATTTCAAGAATCACTTAAACACCATTATTACATACATGAAAAAAAAAGCCTTTGGGTAGAAGTTCTCCAAAATTAAATCCTAGATCTACTAGTGGTGAGTAAATACTTCACACCGAGATACATTACAACAGAGTAAATGTCCTTGTATGATCTTTTGAAGATTTCAAACTAATTGATGATAACTAACAATATTAAAAATACAGAATTGCCATTCATTGTCGTGTAGAGGCTTCCTGATGGATTGCTCCGAGTTACATGTCCTGTCCATCTTAACCTCTTTGCTCCTTCCAGGTCTTGCATACGGAGGATTTTTCTCTCAAATCTTTCAATATTTTGCTGGTCAATGTCCAGATCTCACAGTCATATATCGGAACTGGCTTTATCATAGCATTGCATACCCTTAATTGTAGATTTATAAAAATTATCCAGGATTACAATACCTTTGAAAGAGAAAAGAAAGCTCTGTTTGCGCTTTTCATAAGCTGGTCTATTTCTATTTATTTTATTACCATTGGTCAACAATAAATAAATGCCATAGGCATCTAATAAATTGTTACCACACTTTGATGTTATTATTTAAAAATCAATACACTTGAAATTAATAAAGTTATAAAGCATACCTTCAGTGAATTCCCATCCTCTCTGTTTTCTAATACCGTCATCGCATACTATTCGATATAATTTGATTATTTCATTATTATAATTTTCCTTGAACCATTTTATATCGGTCTTTCTTCGTGCATCACTCACAATCCAAACAGGATAGTTTTCAGCTAAAATAATATTGTTTAAAGTTTTTTTTTGTTCCACATTAACAAACTTTTAGTTCTTAACACACTGTTAATTAAATAATACTGTATGCTAAGAAGTTAAGATTTTAAAAGGAAGCCTATAACAGTTTTCATTCATGAAATTTTAATAACTAAAATATAAATAGATGTAAACGCATTCAAAAATCATTATCGTTTAAGACATAACTCACAGGATGTTCAGATAACTTGAAATAAATATAATGTAATGTGAAAAAAACAATATGCAAATGAAGATAAGTATCTGCGTATATTAAAATAAATACATTTTAAGAAGTCACCTTAGTTATAACACTTAACCTAACAAATTATCGCTTATATTACACTTAACACTATTCAATTTGATACTCATAATTTAGTATAGTTCAACCATGTAAAGATTATAAATAGATATAGATATAAAGATTATAAAAACCAAAAATATATCCCTACTGATATTATTAATAGAATGGAAGAGTTGTCAAGTTAATGAAGCATAAAATATGAAACATATCTTCATCTACAATATGCAGAGAAGCAAAATTAAACTGGTAAATGTTCATACCTTTACTCATCTGAATTGCTGCTCGACAAAAAACACCATAATCCTCATTACGAAGTTTCTCACTCCATTCCACCATCGCCTTACGATGTGCTTCCTTATATTCTAAAGGACTCAACAAATTTTTCAAATCCAAATCATTCTTTTCAGCATGAAGGCTTTTAATCGGTGCAGAAAGTTTAATGATGATAACATTGTCATGATTCAATCTGAAAAATATAATGTCATTATCATTCTCCCTCCAAAATACAATAAATTTCTAGAGCATGAAATAAGTTTTAAGAAGAAATACTAACTTGTCATACAATCTATCTGTTACATAGTCTTTTCCACTTTTTCTTTTACCACTAAAAATATAAATACACTTAGGATTTGGACCCATTAATAAATATCTAGGTTACGTTTTATCTAACGTCTAAACACTTTATGAAATTCCTTAACTAGACATAAAGCTATTCTTATCACGTTCTCATAATTTGAAATTCATGTCAAGCTCTGATAAGTAATCAGTAGTTTGTGATTACAAACAGGTATTTATTTTGGAATATTCTCTGAGCTTTTAAATATATTATTTAGACGTTATTTTATGTTAGTTATATTTGATTATCATAATTATGATAAATTAAATTACTTTAAGGAAAAAAAAGGTCTATTCAGACTTTATTTATAACATGTTTTAGATCTGTTATCAGTAATGGATAGGTCAATTTTAGTTTATTGGATAATAAAAATTATGAAAGTTGTCGAAATATTTATTGTTAAAGGCTTTCTTTTAATTCAAACTTACCTTCATTTATTGTTTAATCGTGTATTTTAATCGCGGTAGCATTGTAAATACCGGTATTCTTTCCACCCCACTCCTCATCGCACAATACAAGTTGATATCTTGGCTGTGCCGGTTCATTTCTTGTTCATTTAGCCGTTCGATAGAAGTAAGTATGGATTAAGCCTGTTGTTATTGTTATAGCTTGGGCTTTACTCGTTTGTTTTCACTTTTATAATCTGATGCAATGTGTAGTTGCCTTTTAAAGAACAACACATTAACGTGAACAAGAGGCCGAAGTTGGTTTGATAAATTGATAAAGAACCTAAGGAGTAATAACGAAATGTTTGCAGTCCAGCCGGTATTGAAATTTCGTTTTTATTTTAATTTTATATTTAAAACAATGAATTGTGTAAGAGTTTGAAACGAGTTCCGGGTGATGCATTTACGGTGACCTTGGAGTTTGAGACCATTAAGAGCTGACTTTTTTTTTTCATTATCTTACGGAAGTCTGTGGTTGCGAATTTATTTTTTCTTTTTGAGTTCCAGTGTTTAGTATATTCATAAGCAATTCTTACCTTCGTAATTGTTTCAAACATTCTTGAATACTCCCATTATTAGATTTCTTGTACTAATTCAGTTCCATAGAAACAACTATCAACTGAATTTCTGCATCTTAATACTTCCACATTATAAACTTTAAGGTTATAATTTCTAATTTGTTTTTAGATTGCTCCCACAATGTCTCAACTCCAGATTCAAAAGACAGCTCCTGACTTCAGCGGAACGGCTGTGATTGATGGAGAATTCAAAGAAATCAATCCTGAAATGTTCCGTGGAAAATATCTTGTTCTCTTTTTCTACCCACTGGATTTGTAAGTATTGAATTTAATTATTTGTTTTTGTAATCTTCTATAAGTCTCCGCTAATTATATAGTTTTGTATGATAAATTATATGAGATCTTTTACTTGTTTTAACAGTTTAAGTTATAGTATTTTTTTTTTTTTTAGCACCTTTGTTTGCCCCACGGAAATCATTGCTTTCTCCGACAGAGTTGAAGAGTTCCGTCAAATCAACTGTGAAGTGATCGCTGCCTCATGTGATTCCCACTTTTCCCATCTTGCTTGGATCAAAATGCCAAGGAAGATGGGTGGGCTTGGGGATCTCCATATCCCTCTGCTGTCTGATAAATCAGGACGCATTGCTCGATCTTATGGCATTTATAATGAGGAAACCGGTGTTCCATTCAGGTAAATATATTTTTTTTTTCTGGTTACCTATAATGATTATCAGATTAATATTGCCTGCATTTTTTTCCTCTGTAAAGCAGGCTCTGTTATCCTGTGTGTCATAGTAATTCTTTTTACATTTTTTCCCTATAAAGCAGGCTTTGTTTTCCTGTTTGCACCACCCAGGGGCATTATTTCATCATGTATCTAGGAAATAATACTCAAGATGATTAGTCAGTATAGTATGGCATCATCTGTTCTAAGAAATGTGGTTAATAATTTTTTTTTTTGTACATTTAAATTACCATACAATAAGTTTTGTTATTGGTTGCACATGTAATATATGTGCATAGCTTATGCTATGTCATATGTAATCATGCAATTGCTTAGACTTAATTTATAATTGAATAATTATAAAATTAGTTCATGAATTAATTGAGATGCATTCCAAAACCAACAGGTCTCCATTTTCATTTTTTTTTTTTTTTTTTTCAATTGATTGTTGAAGTACTAGATTGTCCAGAATCTAAAAAAATTATAGAAAAATAAATAAATAGGAATAATTTTTTTTTTTAAAATAAATTCTTTTACTTATCAATTACAGAATCTATTAATTGAAAAAAAAAATCAAGTTGGCTTGTTTTAGAATTTATCTCCTCAGTTTATAAATGATTAATTACAATTATATTGATTATATAATAGACTTGATTGGTTATGTAACAGGATTTTCTGTTCACCTGACATTTAGTTTTAATAGGAGTTGTTCTACCTTGAACTTAACTTATAATTACTCATTTAGTTCTTAAATCTGTTCATAGAGGTTTTAAAATTGTTTGTAAAATAGTTGTCACCGTGTTCTGTTGTGTCTATCTTAGACAGTGTTAAGGAACTGCTTCTTTGCACTAATTATTATATAAATGAGAAATATGAATTAAGTTAACTAATTTGGATTACCAAAAAATTAATACATTTTTATTTTTCTATATTACGTTATTGTTATTCAGGGAACTTGGAATATGGAAGTTTAAACTTTAAAAAAGATATCTATTTTTTCTAGTTATTTTGATTTTATAACATCATTAAATGTTTATTATTCAGAAATTTATATTGATACTATATTTTATTGGTAATAGGAAAATGAATCTTGAAATAATTTTAAATATGTTTTTTGTGTGTTTAAGTATTACTGTTGGAATATGGGTTTTTCTTTTAAATTTGTTTATTTTTGGCCAGTAAAAATTATTGTATTATTACTAGTCATTGTAAGTAGCAATAGTTAATAGTAATTGTAATTAGCACTGGTCGGGATAGAAATATATCTTGAGCAGCGTTCTTTGAATATTTTTTTTTAATTTGTCACTCAAATTCTCCTTTTTTTCTCCTCAAAATGAACTCGAATTACGTCTGCCCAAATATATACGAAATAATAGGTAATATTATATATAACTGTTCCCAGAATAGGTTTTGATTGTTAAAATTGTATCCTTTTTTCTCTCACCTAACATAGGAATTTAAACTTTTTCACCAAAGAGGAAACACTTATCTTGAATATTCTTTCTCAGGTAGTTCTATTATTTCACATGATATTTGATACAGGAAGACTTTATGGGGAAGCAAATATATATTTTCTCTTCAACTATAACTCTCTAATGTATAGCACATTTACTTTACAAAAAAAAAAAAAGATGAAGTAACTTAATTTGAAAAAAAAAAAAAGAAGCTAATTTGTATTAAAAAATGGTAAGTTTTGCAGACCAAGGCAATTATTTAAATTAGGCATTGTTCCAATTTACATCAGACTTCATAAATTATGATAGCAGTTTCTGCATCTTCCATTGTGCTTGTTTTGACAAATTTAAATTTCATTTCCTCTTCATCATTATGTAATACCTAATGAGTTGAGCCAAAAAAAATCAATGAATAGTAATAAATTCTGCCATATTAAAGGGCCTTAATATTAAGACTACATGAATAATTTACACAATATGTACATACAAATAATAACTAAGATAGAAATAATAAAGAAAAATAAAATAAGTAAATTAAAATGTCTGTGTACAAAAAATTAAATAAAAGCTAAATAAAATTAAAGTAAATACAACACATTCACACCTATGCCCATTAATAACAAAAAAAAAAAGAAGAAGATATTCTCTGCCAAACAATAGTTGAGACTAGATAACTAAAACAATGCATTGACATACATATATTTTATTTTCAGACATGAGGAGTATAAAGTTTTAGTGACTGCAAGCATTTTTAATATTTCTTCTGTTAATTTTTCCTAAAGTTAAGATCTTGAGGTTTTATTTATTATATAAATTATTCCATTATTCACCAACATTTTATTTATTAGCTATTTATTATGACGTTTGGACCATACTAAGGGCCATTTTCAAGTCTTAATGAGTCCTCCGTTAGATATTCATTATTAATGTCACATTAATTATTCACTGAACAAATTAATGTGACATTAATAATGAATATCTAACGGAGGACTCATTAAGACTTGAAAATGGCCCTTAGTATGGTTAAAACGTCGTAATAAATAGCTAAAGTTATAGTTATGTAAAAAAATAAAAGTATTTTTAATACTTGCTGTTACAATTTGTCCATATTTGTTTGGCTTATAAATTAAAATATTTTGTTAAAGTAAATGTACCAATAATAGAAACTTTAAGAGAAATTTTCTATATGACCCTCAGCTTTAGTTCTGGCAGTAGATTTTTGCATACTTCCAAACTTATCTCCTAAAGAAAAGTAATAAGGAAACCTTGAAACAATTCCCAACCTTGTTTTATTAAAAAATTAACTGCTAATTGTCTATTGTAGCATGCTATCACCGAAGGTGATAAACCATCACCTTGTTCAATGTTTTAATTGCAAATTTGCTCATATTTGTACTGTTACTGGTTCATTTACCTTAATATTTTAATGCTCAAAAAGAAACTTAATACAAAAAAATTAAGAATTACCTTCTATCATATTAATTGCCTCCCATTTATATTATTAATCCCTGCTTTTATACTTTTTGATTAGCCTTATTTATTTTTTATTAACATAATAGTATTCTGTCTATGAAATATCTGAAATGCTGAATTATCTCTGTTGATTATTTATTTTTATTATATATGTAATTATTTCTTACAGAGGTCTCTTTATTATCGATGGTCAAGGCACATTGCGCCAAGTGACAGTAAATGATCTTCCAGTTGGGCGCTCTGTTGACGAAACCTTGAGGCTGGTTCAGGCATTCCAGTTTACCGATGTTCATGGAGAAGGTAATTATTTTTACTAACATATTTTGTGAATAAGATTGAAACAGAATGTTTGAAGGAGTAATAAGCAAGACACCATTTTTATATAATTGCTGAACTGTTATTACATATGAATCTAAATATTTTTTATTTACTTGAAGGTAGCAGTTATGTAACTGATGTTAACATTTACATTATTATGGTTTGACCAGGTGTTGGAACTTTTTTTGGAAGGAAGTTCCGAGTTTAGTATTAATGAATTTAACATGTTAGATGCGGCTACAATCTTCGGGTTCTGATATTTATCTCGTTTTTGGCCTGGTTTGTTTCGAATTTTGTATTTCCTACGAATTCTCTAAAATGGTCATTTTTAAAAATATTTGAATGGGAGTTGGATAGATGTAAAGATAGATTCAAACATAAATAATCATTATATATGATATAAAGCTAAAAATTGACTGTCTTTGTTATTATATTTGATATAAAAAGGTTTTTATATAATTTTATATTGGTAAATAAGGTCAGAATTTACAATAACATTAAAAGTTCTACTCCGTAAAAAATGTACTTATTGACTTTTTAAAGTAAACTTAAACTAAAAATCGAGTACATACCCATCTATGTAATATTTCTTGTAACCATTTTAAGTGTCTTATTAGTTCTACAGTTACTGGAAATGTATAAACCAATCCCTATCGCATATATATACATAATTGTATATATATACAGTATTTGATTAAAATTTCTTAGAGACGGTAAAAAAAATACAGTTACTGGTTATTTATTATTTATAAAGGAGCCCTTACACGGTCAATATTATTGAGTTACTATCGAATATATTAACCATCTGAGGGATATATTGTAACAATTATATCAATATATACAGTGTTCGATAATATTGCTTCAATATTATTTATTTAATAATATTGTCCATATAAGATGGGTTTAATCCAAATGGATTTTAATTAATCTATGGATTCTGTTTAATCTATTCTCAGAAAGTTTAGAAAAACAAATCTTAGTTAAACAGGTTTAATTTATATCATTGATAATTTTTTTATTATTCAACTTGAACATTTTTTTAATAAAAATATCAGAATTGGCTTAAATTTGAGCTATTTAATAATAATTGCCTTTTCCTTAATGTCCTAAAAATTACTGATAACACTCAAATAATTAAAAGATCATAAATTAATAGATTAATTAAAATCTCACTGGATTAGTAACGATGATTATCAACATTAAAATTTAAATAGTTGTAATCAAAATAACAAATATTAAATATAGACTCTTTCTCTTACTGTTAATAGAATATTTTTTGTAATATAGATTTTTGAGAAGATTAAATGTTCTATAAAAAAAAGAAGGATATAAAATATAACCCTCTATTACTTGTAGTAATTTGATATATTGTCCTCATTCCTTTATCTGAAGTGTTGAGATCTATTAAATACATGAATTAGCAAAATATAATAACTTAATTAAATTGTGATGATCTTAAAATCTGTTTTCAGAGAGAGGTTAAAATAATGATATTGAATAGTTTTTTTATTGTTATACCTTTATATTAGTTTAATTTTAAATTGTTTTAAAAACACTTTAAGATTAATTAACTTTTATTGAAATGACTGCAATTTTTTATTTCCTTCGTCCTATTTAGTGGCTTATATGGCTTTAAAAAAAAAAGTCTTCATTTATATCTAGATATTAAGGTTTAAAGAAACATATGTTTAATAAAAGATACTATTTTTATATAACTTGAAATAATGTTTAGTATATATATTTTTGTGTGTGTAACTAAAGTGTATTTAATTAAAATTTTATTTATTATGATTTTTTCAATATAATTATTGATTGTTCAGCGTTTTATCTTATCTAACAAATTGTCACTCGTTGCAAACATAGATTTTTCATTTAAGGAAGTAATTGTAATGGCTCGGCATGATTCAATTCAAGTTCATCAGTCATGCAATTATACTATGCTTTCTTAAAGCAGCCATTAGCTAATAATAATAAAAAGATGAAAATTATTTTAACTGTTTATACTTTATAGACTTTAAAACTTTAATATCTTGATCTCTTCATTTTTTATAATTTCTAAAAAAAAAAGATTTATGATAAGGGGGCATTAAGTCATTAATTTGTAAGTCGTATAATTCCCATGTAAATATAAATAAACTTATGCTTGGTGTCATATTCTGAATATTTATTAAATACAACTAAAATGATAATTACTCAAAGGTCATAAATCCATTTTTTGAAATACTTCATGGAAAAAACAAAAATCTCTTCTCAATTTGTTATTTACTAATGTTATAAATAGAAAAATCTAAACTCAAAGCCACGAATCTCCGACACACAGGTGAAAGTTTTAGTTAGCTTTGCCTAACTTAGTTTTGGATATTTATCAGTACATTGGAGACTCATGGCTTTGTTGTTAAAAATGTTTCCGTTTATAACGTAATTATTATAAACTTATGTCTCTTTTTTTTAACTGTATGCCTAATTTGTGTTATTTACTAATTCATGTGCTTTTAAAGGACAATATTTTAGATGAAAATGAATTTACAATTCTCATTAAAATCAAACCAGTAAAATACAAATACATAATTAAAGAAGCTCATAAGATACATTTTTGGGATCCCCAAGTGTTCCCATGTTACATTCATGTATACTGAGTTGAAGTGGCTTTATCCTACGTCCTGGAACTCCTTACTCTATGTTTCTCTATTCACTCTCAATACGAGGTCTTAATCTATAGATTTATATTTCCTCTCCCATAAAACTACTTCCTTCAGTAAATTCTTCATCATTTGTGCTACCTCCTTTTGGAACTCTCTTCCAGCCTCCACACGTCAATCCTCGTCCACAAATTTCTTCAAACAACTCCTGTTCCACCGTCTACTACGTATTCAAACTTCCGCAAACATTTAGTTGCGTCTGTACACGGTTTAATTCAATCAACTGTACAATTTCAATAACAATCAACAGTTAATTAGTTGGTATTTTGTATTCATCTAAGCCAGACTAATGTTCTTAATTATGTAACTCTGTTATTATTTTTAGGGGACTGTAGTCCCAGAATAAAATTATTTTTTCATTCATTCATTTATAAAAATACTGCTTTAGAGAAAATTGTCCTCGAGTTACTTTTGGAAATCAACGCCTCAATTGATAAGCAATCTAATGCTTATAGCACATTGACTGAATTCAAGAGGGTTTATTGTATTACGTTAATGACATTTAAACATGTTTATTTAATTTTAAATAAACTATTTATAATTTTATTGACTGATAAAGAAAATGTATTTTTATTTCAGTCTGCCCTGCCAATTGGAGACCTGGAAAGAAAACGATGAAGCCAACACCTGTTGGAGCTGGTGAATACTTTGCCAACGAAGGCTAAATATTTGTCTGAGGCAACTTTTAAAGTTTCATCACAGCTTCATCACTATATGTTTTTTTTTACTTTCTTCTAATCTATTTTTAATTGTAATCTATTTGTTGTTTGTTCCTTTCTTGCCGAATTATTTGTACTTGCTAGTATTAATTATTTGTAAACAAACACATTATGTTCGACATTACCAAAAAATTGTAACCATTTACGGCCACAACACTTAGTGTCTACTGCCGTTAAGATATTAAATATCAATATATGTTTTTCAAGTAAAAATATGTGGTCATTATTTTATATTATATTTGTAAACTATATCACCACAGATACTAATTATCAGAAAGTATTGTTTTGATATTAGCTATATAATCATAATTTTGTTCCTACAGTATTTTATTATATTATGTGATAAGTGGAACAATAAATAATTTAAATAAGATATTTCTTTTTTAATTTTTCCTTTATTTTACAATGTCAGTCTTCTTCTTAAGCTTCTCTCTTTCGTGCCTCTCAGCTTAAGGGATGAGCAGCCACGAACTCCACTCTTCTCTGTTCTTTGCTAGGTTCCTGGCTCGACGGAGATCATTGCCTCTTCTTTTGCAGAGTCTACCTATATACTCCAGATATGCATTCTTGGGTGTCCTCGAGGTGTTTTGCCATCCTGAGCATAGTCTATCGTCTTCAATGGGTCCCTGTGCTCCTTCATTCTAATCACTTTGCCAAATCATTTCAATTAGCAGATTTTTAGAACCTCCTGGCGCTCAGAATGCCCAGCTCCTGGTGTATACTTTCGTTACGAACCCAGTATCTCCTAGTCTTACCGACTGTTATTCGCAGATATTTCATTTCAGCAGCAGTGGCTCTGCTCTCTTGCCTGTCTGTCAATATCCAGCTTTCAGCTCCGTTTAGAAGTATTGGCAGGCACACGATTTATATATATGGAGCTTGACGTTCTTGTCTACGTCTCACTTTCCTACAACAGTGTTGCAAATCTGTTAGTAGACTGCATTTGCTTTGCTTATTCTATTGGATATTTCTAAGCCCACTTTCTCCAATCTTTCTATGACAGTTACTAGGTAGGTAAAGTCTGAGACCACTTCTAATTGCTCTCCATTGTAGTGCACATGCATCTCTTCATTTTGCCTTCCTTGTAGTACCTTACTTTTGCTGGTATTGATCTGCATTCCTTCCTGGTAGAGTTCCTCATACCATTTAGTCCGCCTGCTGCAACTTTTCAGCCGAACCAGCGACAAGGACAACATCATTGGAATATAGCTGAAGCTGGATCACCACCGGATGTAGGTTTCTTCACTCCAGGAACGTCCTTTCTGTTTTTCTTTTACATATGGCCGCCACCTCATCCATATAGATTAGAAATAGTAATAGTAACTATCTCCTTGTTTGACATCCCTTGCCATGTCAAAGCAAACGGACTCTAACCCTGTTCAGCCTAACAACTCCCTTCGGGTGTTGATAAATGGACTTTACAGCCTCTACAAAGTTCCTTGGGACGTTTTTAGCTCTAAGAGTCTTCCATATTTCATACCTGGGAACCGTGTCAAATGCTGCTTTCATGTCAAGGAAAGCCAAGCACATATTTTTATCCCAATCCCAAGATTTCTGTAGAACATTTCTTATGGAGAATATATAATCCTGAGTTTGCTGTCCTGGTCTAAAACCAGCTTGCTCTTTCCCAATAAGGTGTTTGACTAAGGGCTTTCCTTCTGAACCACTTGTCTTGCTTCGATATTACCTCTTTAACGCCTTGTTTTTGGACGACCAGTGTCTTCATCACCATTTGATCCAGTCTGCTCGAATTTCTCAATCACTCCCTTCAAAATTGATGAAGTTAAATCACTATTCCGATCCTATTTTGTACAAAATTTTCGAACTCTGGCTGCTAGACTTTCATGGTTTTTAAAATATTGTTCAAAAATGAAAATACATTCGCTTGTATAACACTCAATTTTTACTAACCCTATTTTAACTATCAGCTTTTAAATTGACAAAGAAAATAAATTAAAAGAAGAAAGAACTGTTTTATATTCAGAAATTTCGGCTCAACGGTCTAGTCGCCCACATCAAATTGAAACGAGCAATGTTAAGGGCATGGTTGAGCAAAATTCCATCCAATCAGTACCAGAGATTGCTATAGCCCTAAATGTGTATCACACAAGCTTAGAAAACCATTTGGACAAGCTCGGCTATGTTTGGGTCCCTCAATGATTTTTTTTTTTTAAATCTCAAAAAAAGTTATAACTTCAATACAATTTCAGCTATCTACAAGGAATTTAGGGCCATATAAACCACACAAAATGACAACAGGACTTTCGTGAACAAACTACAAATGGAGATAGAAAATAAAAACCTATGAGGAGTTTTTGTTTATTTATTCCTTATGTAAGCATTAAATAAAAAAAATATTTGTACGGTTTTGAAGAGCAATAATTCAGCTTTCCAACGGATATAGTAACATCGAATTTTGAGAATATCCTGAAGAGTTATGAATGATCGGAAGAGTATTGTGTTCCACCAAGACAACGCTAGGCCTCACACCTCATTGGTCACTAGCAATAAATTATGGGACCTTTTGTCCCACCCTCCTTATTCACCAGGCCAGCTCCAAGTGACTACCACTTATTTCGATATCTGCAGAATTCCATGAATGGAAAGGAATTCCAAAAGGAAGAGGACATCAAAAACCACTTGCATCAGTTTTTTAACAATAAACTCCAGACATTCTATGAACATGGCATTATGCAGTTAGTGGAAAGATGGGAAAAAGTCATATTAAATAATGGTCGATGTATTGTTGATTAAAATAAATTTTATGTTTAATTTCACCCTGAAAAACCGACTTATTTACCAACCCAATATTTTGTGGTGTATCCACGGAATCTTAACCCTACCATTCTGTTTGAGAATATGTTGGTAACCTGTTGGATAACAGTTAGGGAGTAAAAAATAAATAAATAAAAAGCATATGTTCAACCAAAGTGGATGATTTCAGCTTCTACTTTAAAGGTTGATACATTTTGTTGCAGATCTTAGGATTTAATTTATTACCTCTTATTCAATATATTGATTACCTTCATCTGGTAAATATTTGGGCCAAAAAATGTGAAAACAAATGATGTCTTGTATCTAAAATCAAAGAGTGAGCCAGTACTTGAACACACTCAGTGCTCAAACCATGCCCTGAAGATGACCCACATGTTTGGGTTGAAACGGCATAATTAAACATTTTTTTTTTTAAACACTGCATCCTGAATATTTATCACCCATGAAATGTAGAACAGTCGACTAACTTCCTTCAATCATTTTTATTAAAATATATTTTTAAGTTAGATTATGTATCTGGGAAGAATAAGACAACTTTTAAACCGGAAGCAGATCTATAATATGTAATCTTTATAACTTTGTAGAAAATTAAAGTAATGATAAGGGAAAAGGCTTCATTACATTAAAAAATAATATGATATCATAATATTATCATTTATTTAGAGACAGACATATTGTTGACTTAAAATTTTAAGGATGAAAAATTGTAAGGATATGCAGTGTATAATCGTTTTTATAAACTTTGTTGATATTTCGATAATTTCTTATCAACAACTTTTTGCATTACCTTCAAACCATTGCCCAGATGATGACCACAAGCTTAGGTCAAACTATCGGCAAACTTTATAAACATGATTATTGGCTGCATATCTTTACTATTTTTCATCCCTATTAACATTTATCCATTTTTAGTTCAATATTATTCATTGTTACTTATATTATGTTGATTATTTATTTTAGGTCAAAAATTCAGGTTTGATTTTTAAGCTAGTAAATTTGGAGGCATATAGACTTTTTCAAGATTCAAGATAATATTGTTAAATGTGCTGTTAATATATTACCAAGATTATTTCGATTTCTGTGACATTTTATGGTAGCTCGAGTAAGTAAGACACAATACTCCTTTTCTCTGGATTCAAGTCTGGCAGTAAGCAGGTGTTTATTTATTACATAAGCTTGGGATTGGCAACTTTTTCTGGGGCAGACGTAGTCTCTATAAAGTGAGTGGTCTTGATTAATTGATTAAGGAGGAAAACCTGATAACTGAGCACATCCTTGGTCGCATCACCACCTAGAAACAGCCGTTTCTAACAAAGTAATGAAACCATGACCTTTCATGGGTTGTAATATTACATGTTATTGTAGGATTTATTTCCTCACCGTTCATCAATTGTCTTAAACTTCTACCCATTTACATATTGAGTTGAAGATCTCCTGTTGCCTCAAACGCAGAGTTTCTGACACAGTACAACATCCCGTACTGATCTGTGCAGATAAGGACTGACACCGAGCCTAGAAGGAAGAGCGAGACATACAACCACGGAGCAAATTTTTGTGGACTAATGGTTGAGGATAACCACCCATCCTTCATCGAGTATGTGAGGAAGTGAAAAAAAGTGGTACTACGTATTTCACTGTGACGAGAGAACATCCACCTGAGGGAGGTGAATGTCAGATGGGGAAGAATCAGCACCGAATTGGTCAATGGATATAGACAGCCTCTGGCCTGTATGGAGGATAAACAAGGTAAGGTCCCATCAGAAGGTGTGAACCGGATCGTTCCACAAATTACTCTCTTCTGTTGTTTCTGAAATACAGAAATGCTTAAGTATGTTTATTAATAAAAAACAACAGAGAGCTTTTGTCGGAGGCAGTGCCAGACACACTAACCCTCCGCTGCTGAAAATCCTATAAGATCCAACTGAATTGACAACAGTGCTTTTATATCTTGGTTAATGCAAATCTATCAGCCCATCCACCATCGGCTTAGCTTAATATAAAGACCATACATTATGGTCATAGGCATGAAAGGGTTTCAACCATAAAAATTTTATTTGTACCCCTATCATTCAGGATGTAAGATATATTATATTGCTTTGAGATATATTAAAAGCATATTAGGAGAAGTTCTGCAAACTACTCACTATTATCATGTACCCGATTACCTTTTCCTCTTGCTTGTATCAAAGGGTAAATGATTCTTCCCACTTAGAGGAATAGCTGAGCATGATGAATTCAAAACCAGAAAAGAATTCAAGAAAGAATGAATTGGTAAAACTACATAATAAACGTTAAATAAAAGCGATTTTGAATACCAAAATGAAGTTTAGAGGTGCTCATGTGGTCATAAATAAAATACACATTAAATATATTTTATTATTTGTAGTCGATGTCTCAAATTATTAGCTTTCTTTAAAATTGTCAATAGGTGGAAAAACGTTGGTTTTGAATCTGTTAATGAATGTATAGTTACAGTTTTTGTTTACAAAGTTAAATATTATATAAATGTTAAACCTCATGAGGTAAATGATGTAATAAACATTCCATATATTGATAATTAGTAAGTTTTTAAATTTGAAAAGTCAATTTAAACAATACATTTTTAAAAAATCTCGTACAATAATATAGTAAATTAAATCGTAAAATTAATATTTATAAGCATTTGATTATTTTTGGAAAGAAATTTATTGAATTTCATGTTTATTTTTAAATAATTAATAACAAAATGTATTAATTAGTTATTTTGATATTGGCGGTTTATATTGTTGGTAGCAGTGTTTTTACCCTCGGTAGGGACAACGCTTAAAGGGTCAATTTTGAAGGTTTGTTGACATATAACTGTCATGGTGTTGTATTTTATGTTAGTGTCAAAATTACAATAACTTCTTAGCCCAAGCAACTCTGGATAGCAGGTATTTTGTTCTAATCAAAGGAAAGGGAATCATCAATTTATCCTTGGTCCTTTCAACAATTTTAGTAAGTACCTTGTTTTAAGTTAATGTGGATATTTGATATCTTGTTAATTTACAATTGTTTACAGTACAGGAATTAAAAAATACAAAATAAGGTTTATTTTCTGAAATTTTAATGTTACTTTTAGTCTTGATTTATTTGTTTTAATTATAATCGTCAGTGATCATTGTAATTATTGTGTATTGATGTCCGTTTATTACTCATGTAAGTCATTACTAGATCTGTTAGTTGATAATTTATGAATATGGGATGATCCACAGTTTCGGCCGATTTGTATTTATTCCGAAGTATATAATTTGGAGTAATTGAGGTAATTACATCGCGGCGAGTAATACGGGCTTCGTAAAATTGTTGGACTTATTAGCGAAAGAATTGCTAAAAGGTTAATATTTTCTGTGCTGACTGGTAAACGCCAGAAGGGTAAACCAAAGGGAAGATAAGATTGCATTAAGGCCGATCTGAAGGGATATAGATTGGACGGTGATTGGTGGTGTCGGCATCGAACCTTCGGGTTTCGCTAAGCCTTTTATTATTATTATTGTATATTTTGTATATAAAAGTTTAAATTTTTGTTATTTTTCTGTCTGATACGATATTACTTATAATTTCGTGTAGATTTTTTTTCTTGTTACTGAAACATTTTTTGCCAAATAACAATATACCATCCTTTTAAATACTAAGAAATAAGTTATTTATTTACCGGTGTGATTTTTATTACAAGCTATTAATTACCATATATATTTACCCCTCACTTAATTCACTGACAATAGTTTTGAAATTAATTTATGTACAATATAAGCTATTTGTTGTTTACAATTCTCTTATATAGGTATACCATATGTGTCTATATATCGTGAAACTGTCATATATATTTAGTAATTTTAATTATTTATGAATGTAGAGAATGATAATTATATGAGCATCAAATGTTTATGTTTAAATTCCGTTATGTTAAGTTCTATAATAAGTTCTACCCCATAGAGAATTTGCCTGTTGTAAACAAAGATGGGCGTACTCGCTGAGAAGGAAATTGAATTATCCGGAGTCACCCTTTTTCTTGGTAACGGTTTTCTATTATTAGGTTTTCATGATTTGATTTAATTCCTCGGAAATTCTTGCATATGAATAGCATTTATTTTCTTTGTTTATAATTCTTGTCTATCTCTAAGTAAAATTTGTATTTTAGTTTCCTTAAATTATCGTAATTCTAAACTTACTAAATTAAAAGTTCCGTTCAGAAACCAATAAATAGAATAAATTATAATGATGTAGAGATGGTTGACCGTTGATATAATATGAGAAGGAGTTTATTGGGGGGTGCGGTAAAATAAATACTAAATTAAAATATAGTAATATTAAATAATTACTATATTTTAATTTAGTATTTATTAAAATATAGTAATATTAAATAATTACTATATTTTAATTTAGTATTTATTTTACCGCACCCCCCTCCCAATTAACTCCTCATAGAATAAATTATAATTTTAATTTTACGCAATATATGAACCCGTTAAATTTTTTGTTTTAAAATGTTTTTTTTTCTTTTCTGTGCATTGAGCTAAAAATAGTGGAATGAAATATATTTAAAAAAAAAAAATCTTTACTAATTGTTGTATGTAAGTCTGCACGGGCGGATCTACGGGGGGGGGGAGGGGCTTTCGGGCTGAAGCCCCCCCCCCCCAAAATGGGAAAATATAACCATGTTTTATCAAACAAAGTATCTCTTAAAGTGTTATTGTTCGTGTGATTAATATTAAAAGGGCTTTAGGAATCACTTAAACACCATTTCATACAGGTAGTTAGTTTCTTTCTTTTTTTCCAAAGTAATTATCGTTATTTTTATGGAAAAAAAGCTTTAGGGCTGAAGCCCCCCCCCCCAAAATTAAATCCTAGATCCGCTAGTGTAAGTCTGTGTATCGTTTTGGAATATGTTGATAACAATAACTTTTACTATTACTTATAGTTGATTAATCAGTATACAGATAGTATTGTATCCTATTTAGATGTAAATTTTTCCTAAATTTTTTTTAATCAAACCTGTGGTTAAAAATTCACGCGCATGAACGGATAATTGATCCTAATATATGTTATCTTTATTAAATATGTATTTTCATCCGTACTTTTCAAATTTTCATTCCGTGTTTTTCTGTTTATATATCCCTGCTATTGTACCCTTTTGTAAGAGGATTTCTTTTAATCGTAAAATTTTAAAGTTTTTTACGAGATCCATTGTATCTTGAACGTATCTTTATCTTTACTAAACTTGCCTGCGTATACAAACTTGTATAAATTGCAATTATATACTGTGACTATATATTTTTGAATAAATTAAATATAAGCTTTAAATTTTATCAATTTTTAAAATTAATTTTATGTATGGATTTATTTCAGGTAAATATCTAATTTCAAACTTCGATGTACTCATAAGATGTTTTGTTTTATTCCTTGGATTTTATTGATGTATATTGAATTCATAAAAATTATTATAGTTTAATATTTAATGGAATGTCTTTCATATGTTTTTCAAACCTCGTTTCATACCTTAAATAGATCTTATTTAACTTATATTTGACCTATAGAAATAAAAAATAAAAAAAATTTAATTTTTTTTTGCCAAGTTCCTAAACTTAGTACATCAACGAGCTCAACGCTGATTTTAGAAACATCTTGCTCCTTGTTAAATTTTAGAAATAATCTAGTTTAACAGTCTTAAAACTTTCAACATTGATTGTATTAATTGATTAATTCATTTAATAAACAAATATCTGATCTAATTTTACTTCTAAAAAACGAATGGCAACACTGTTCCCTGAATAAATTAGTGCCGTGTTTTACACTGTTTCTAATCTCTATGGAAGCCGTAAGTTTATATTTTATGCAATTAAAATTATAGTTAAAATAGTTAATTATACTGTCTTATTAAATTACTGTCTGATCTTATTAAATTAAAAAAAGTTAAATAAGTTCCTCCAACAGGAAGCGGTCAGTTACTGGTCAGTTCCTCCTCCTACGTTAGGCTTTGACCTCCGCCATATTGTTTGGTTTTTCCGTTAGGATAGATATTTTATGAAACTGAGGTTTTCTAATTTGTTCTTCAACAAAATGTATTCTTTCATCTATACCTGTCTTAATATTTTCGACAACTAGTAGATACGTGATAATTAATAGGTCTCTTTCATCCTGTTTTTTTAACTGCAGCAAGTCATTAGTTATTCAGTTTTATAAAATAATTATTTTTCCATCTCTGTTTAATTACTACTGCAATTGTAATGTAGAATTATGTTGTTTAACAAGTATTATATCAGTTAATTCATTTTATAAATAATGCATTATCCATTATTTTAAAATCTAAAACAATATTATAAATTTAATCTTATGTGGATAATTTTACATGTGCACTTCAATGAGAAATATTAACTAAAAAATCGATGGATTCAAATCACTTTCTCATTTCTCCAAATTGACTACTTTACTGGACACGAAAATCTTGAAACTTAAATATTTTAAATAGATAACTTTATAATTTTATTGTTCGGTTCGTTCTAAATTTGATACTACTTTACTAGTGTTTTTTTACTTTGATAGGTGGGAGCAAGTGTATCGGTAAGTAGATAAAAGTGACCGCACCATCTGGTTAAAATCCAACATCCAATGAAAACGCCAGCAGATTTAAGGAGACTTTACTCTTCAAGCCATTCCCTATCCTCCCATCCTCCAAAAAAAAAATTATATATATATATATTTTTTTTTTTTAATTGTTCCGTATTTAGATCTGATCCAAATTTTAAATTGTAACATATATACTTCAGCTAATAAATGTATCTAACTATATGTTATTTGTACCATTATTTTTAACCGATATGGTTTTGAATTTTTTTTTTTTTTTTAAATGACAGAAAAATAAATTAGTTCTATGTTTAAATTTAGCAGGCAAGATAAAACCAGATTAATGTATTTAATAGTAGTTTCCAATGATCTTTGTCATAAATGCCTCTCTAATTATTTGTTCGAAAAAATATTACTTATATTATTTAAGGATTCTGCAATGGAGCGATCAGTAACAGCAGTACCGGTATGTACTTCTTATTTTATTCAAACTAACTTATAACTTAATAGTTGTCTTAATACAAATGCATTATAAGCTTCTGCTTGATACGATTATTTAGTTATTATATTTTAATAATATATTTTCAGAAACATGAACTGGGATAGCGAGTTCAATTACATTCAAGAAAATGGACAAATGAAATTTGGAGGACCACCGCCAGGTTGGGAAGGCCCTCCTCCTTCAAGAGGAACCGAAGTGTTTGTTTCAAAATTACCAAGGGATGCTGGTCTTTCCGAGGTTGGTATAGCTTTTAACATGTTTAGTTTGCTTATAGTCCAGGAAATCCGGCAGGTTGAAATTTATTTATATTGATATATTTTCTCCCTATAGGCATAATTTATATAGTTACAAAAGTCAAATTTATAATTATCTTTTAACACTTGCTCAATTTCCACTGGGTTTAGCCCAAGTGACGCGGTTGAGAGAGGAGTGCAGGGAACTCCTGGAGTCATACTTTTCCCTCCACAGTTGGAGGGACAAGTCTGGTTTGGAGTTCTCTCACCAAATTGTAAATATTGTATATAGGTGTGTATGTGTTCTTTTTATTTATTTATTTTTAGGTTATTTTATTCTTATTTATTGTATATATATTATTTTTCTGTATAATTTATTTTATTTATTGTACATAGAGTGTGAATGTGATCTGTGAACTCTATTATAAATGTCCTAGAGACAGATTGTAATATTTTTCAATAAATAAATTTAAAAAAAAAATAATAATTAATTTGTAAGCATACTATGAACCAGAAATTGAATTGGAGAAATTTTGATTAAAATTATAAAAATTATGTGTGTTTTAAAGTAAAAGTTATAATTAATTGGTTACTTTTATGCATTTTGATAAAAAATATTTGTTGATTTATGTTTTATATATTTCTTGAAATAAAAATCAGATATCTTTAACTGATTATTTATTTTTAGTCAAAAAATAACTAACTTCTTGAGGAATTTTTATAAACCTTTTAGCTGCTGCGAGTGAAGAGTTTTACCTCTAGCACTGTGCTAAGTAAGCCGGCTACTTACTTTTTACTTGCTTTTCACCCTTCATGACCGGCTCTTACTTCTATCTTTTAACCTTATTTTGTTGTTTCGCTTATTATATTTTTTATTCGAGCTGTGGACAGATACTGGCAGAGTTAAAACTTTTTATACATTTTTTTATTATATTTATTTATTTTTGTATATGATGTAGAGATGGTTGACCGTGATATAATATGAGGAGTTGCTTGGGGGGATGCGGTCAGATAAATACTAAATTATAGAAATAATATTATTTAATTAAGTAATACTATTTCTATATGAGAAGGAGTTAGTCAAGGGTGCCAATAGATATAGATATCAAGGGTCAAATAAATAAAAAAATTAAAATATATAAATTATTTTAATTTTTGCCGACGTTTCGACCCACTTTGCAGGTTGTCTTCAGGGCTACAAAAGATACAAAACATGTTGAAAAAAAAAAAAATAAATATAAGTATATATAAAATACGAAGAAGTTGTCAGATACAGAAATAAAAGATGGTATCAGAGATATAGTGGGGTGACAATGTAGTTAAATATTAAGATTTATATATGTAGAAGATACAAATAAATGGAAAATAAGTAGGAATAAAAATAAAAATAACTTTTAACTTGCATGCTATATTCTCCTTTATTTTTATTTTTATTCCTACTTATTTTCCATTTATTTGTATCTTCTACATATATAAATCTTAATATTTAACTACATTGTCACCCACTATATCTCTGATACCATCTTTTGTTTCTGTATCTGACAACTTCTTCGTATTTTATATATACTTATATTTATTTTTTATTATTTTTTTTTTTTTCAGCATGTTTTGTATCTTTTGTAGCCCTGAAGACAACCTGCAAAGTGGGTCGAAACGTCGGCAAAAATTAAAATAATTTATATATTTTAATTTTTTTATTTATTTGACCGCACCCTCGACTAACTCCTCATATTATATGAACGGTCAACCATCTCTACATTACTATTTCTATAATTTAGTATGTATTTATTTGACCGCACATGAACATGTTTTTGGATGTTGTGCAAGACCCTTTTTTTTTTTTCTATTTATTGTTGAAAACTGAATGATTGAAAAAAGAATCTGTAACTCTCTCCCTTATCGTAAGGGATGAATTTCAGATGGAATAAATTGACCTTAAAATAATATAAAATAAAATATACATATATTTTCTCCTTATAGCAGGCAGAGGTTTATGCTCAAAAGTTTAGAGACTTTTGGTGTTGACAGTTTTCCTACTGTGCTGCTTTCCATAAAAGTATGCCACAAATCATTTGTTTGATTTTTTTTTTTCAGATTTGCCCCATCTTCGCTAGCATTGGTAGAATATATGCTGCGAGATTGATGATGGACTTTTCGGGCACAAACCGAGGATTTTGTTTTATCCAATATGAAACTAAAGCTGAAGCCAAAGGAGCTATATCAGTCCTAGATCGTTATGAATTTCGCTCTGGTGTAAAAATCAGTGTTACAAAGTCAATCGATAATTGCAGGTTGTTTATTGGGCAGGTTCCGAAAGAACTGAAAAAAGAAGAAATAAAAGCAGTCTTAGAAACAGTTACTAGTGGAGTAAAAGATGTATGTCTTAAAACTATTTGTTTTAAAAGTAATTTGTTTTAACCCAATTTCCGATATCCTTAGTTCAACTTAAATCAATTGTATTAAAGCATAAGTGGATATTCCTTTCCTCAAAATGTTCCTTTCAACTAAAGCATTTCATCCTGCAGAAATATCCATTATTAAATAATTACTTTCCCGCAAAGCTCCGGGGCATGACCTAATTACATCCCAGATCTTAAAACTTCATCCTTGAAAAGCCATCCTATTTCTTACTTAAATATATAATGCTGTACGCCTTTCCACATATTCTCCTGATCCTTGGAAACGATCTAATTGTCAAAATGATCCACAAACACCAAAAAGCCACCAGAATACCCATCCTCTTACCGTCCTCTCTAGAAAAATTCATCTTAAAACGCCTGCCTGCACTCCATCCTAAATTCTAATCACATAATCCCAGATCACCAATTTAGATTCCGTACTTCCCATTCCACTATATAGCAATACAGCAATGTCATTAAGGTGCGGAATGTACTGTATGGCAATCTTTCTCGACGTTGAACAGACGTTTGATAAAGTTTGGCACCTGGGGCTGCTGTACAAATTCCGAAAATTCCTTCCACCTACATACTTTCTCATTATCTGATAAATACTTTAACTTTAGTAAATCACAAAAACGCTTATTCATTCCTCTTTTCCCAGCCTGCTGGTGTTCTGGAAGGTAGTATCCTAGGTCCTATCCTTTATACAATTTATATAGCTGACATCCCAGTCTATCCCAGCTCTGTCATTACCACATATGCCGATGACACATGTATTTTATTCTAATTTATTTATTTTTTAGGTTATATTGTACTTGTCTCCAACTGATAAGAGATGTAATCGAGGATTCTGTTTTGTAGAATATTATGATCATAGGTAATAGCCCTTTGAAATATATATTATATTTCGTATATAATATATTATATGTTATAGCTGTATTGAAATCAAATAAGGAAAATGAATAAAATTTAAGTAAAATGGACTTATAACAGTGCTTTTTCGAAAAGAAAAACATACCAATACTATTTACTATTTGTAGTTTATAGATCTGGGTGGTGATCGACTCGTGGTGCTCCTTCAAAGTGTATTTATTGACCAAAAATTTCACAGTTGGTGTTATATGGATAATTATTATGCTGTATATATTAATAAATAAACTAAATTACTTATGAGAAATTACATTAATATCTGAATTCCCCGTATTCCTTATTTTATAATAGAGAAAATCAGAGCTTTATATGTCAAGTATCAACGTTTATCTCCTCTCAGTTTATGAAAATAAAATAAAAGCGATAAAAATAAATTACTTTAAGTTTAATTTTCTAAAGTAAAAAGTCCTAATCAAGCTTAAAAAATCTTCCTCTAAAACATTATATTTGTTATTTTAAAGACTTATTTTTTTTTTTAATCAAATGATTTTGTAGTCAATTTTCTTTCATCCTCACATATATTATTACAGTAAGGCGTGAAATCGGTTGTACCAAATATAAGCTCCTGTCAGGCTCAAATACCATGAATGGTGTTCCGTTGGATTCAGAATTTCATGTGGGTTTAGTGAATTGTACTCTCCGCTTTTGTTTTTCTTTCTAAAATAAATAAAGTCGCTACTAACATTTTACTAGGCTTCAATACTGAAACGTTGGTAAGTCAGTAGATTTGATACGGAACAAATTCGGCTTTGAAGATTTTAATACGTATAGGAAGACCCGGATTGTTCCTTCTATCCATTCAAGGGAACTATTGGGCCCTGCGTTCTTAAGCCCAAAAATATACTATTTTCGAGACAATGCAATGCAAAGGGTTTGCATCAACACAACCTTATGTTAATTTTAGTACTGTCATTGAATACATGTCTCATTCCGTCAACTTGTGGCCCCTATGATCTTGAGAAGAGGAGTTTATATTATTTATCAAAGGTGTTGTCGGTAAGCCACATCATCAATACTTCTTCACCAAATCCCAATAGGCCTGGAGCCAGGGCCCAAAAATCGATCTGATCGCAGGCTAAGGTTTGATTGTAAATTAAGAAAATATATGTTATTCTGAGTAAAAAGAACCTTGTCTGCCGTTCCAGAGCCGCCGCTTTAAAAAATGGCGGCTGATTTAAAGAATATTAGGTCTGTAATTTGAGGATCGAAACGGGAAATCCATTGTGAAAAATGTGAGAAAAGTTTTTATTTTTTTAACTTGTATATATGGGTTCAGACATGTAATAAACAAAATTGCTAATGTGGGCCACCAAGTGAAAACTTTTTACAGCCAAAAAAGTCAGATTTTTCCCTTATTTTTTGGGTTTTTCATCTATAACTCCTAAAAGATGCATCAAAGCGAAAAATGTGTTCTTTAATAAATTAAAGAATGTTAAATTTTGCGTCCAACGAGTACATTAACTTTATAGTTTGGTTAACTATTAAGGTATAAAATCACGGTCAACCAACACTGATTTTTACCAAATTTGTCAAAAACTGACAAAAATTACTACAAATGGCCCTGTAACTTGTAAATGAGTTCCCTAAGAGGAAAAACCCATAGAATCAAAGTTGTAGAGCATCAAATTTTGCGTCCAATGAGTACCAACTAATTTAATGTAGTTGACTTGCTCCGTACAAAATCGGTAATTTCCCGAAGATTGCTCCGAACAAAATCGGTAATTTCCCGAAGATTGGAAATTGAAAATAAAGGTAAACGTGATTTTCAATATTTTAACAGTGTGGGTGTCTAGTCTACTTACTTATTTTTGTTTAGAGGCTGTTACATGCAGTATAAGCCTCTTTTCCACCTCTCAGCAGTAAAGAATTTTGATAAACGATGTGTCGAAAGATACCGAATTTCATAAAGGAATAACTTATCCCGATTCGAGATATATAATTGACATTCAATGAAAATGTTAATACTCATTGGACGCAAAATTTGATGCTATGGGTTTATCCTCTTAGGGTACTCATTTACAAGTTTCAGGGCCATTTATAGTAATTTTTGACAAATTTGGTAAAAATCAGTGTTGGTTGACCGTGATTTTATACCTTAATAGTTAACCAAACTATAAAGTTAATGTACTCGTTGGACGCAAAATTTAACATTCTTTAATTTATTAAAGAACACATTTTTCGCTTTGATGCATCTTTTAGGAGTTATAGATGAAAAACCCAAAAAATAAGGGAAAAATCTGACTTTTTTGGCTGTAAAAAGTTTTCACTTGGTGGCCCACCTTAGCAATTTTGTTTATTACATGTCTGAACCCATATATACAAGTTAAAAAAATAAAAACTTTTCTCACATTTTTCACAATGGATTTCCCGTTTCGATCCTCAAATTACCGACCTAATATTCTTTAAATCAGCCGCCATTTTTTAAAGCGGCGGCTCTGGAACGGCAGACAAGTTTCTTTTTACTCAGAATAACATATACTTTCGTAATTTACAATCAAACCTTCGCCTGCAATCAGGTCAATTTTTGGGCCCTGGCTCCAGGGCTACAAGATTGAACCAGCAATTTGGAAGGTTTCATTCTCCTTCAGGTGGACAAAATAGTCCAATCAGCCCAAAAATTCAGACAAAAAAAGTTATGAAAAAAAAGAAACTTTATTTGCGAATAAATCTAAAATTACACACTTTTACCTTGGTTATGTTCATGATTAAATAAAATATTACTAAATTCCCTATAAAAGGGAGAAAAAAAATCTTCAAAATCGGACGATTTTTAGCAAAGATACAGCTTATTAAAATTTGTTAACATGTTGGTTCCAAACATTAATGAAGTTTTAAATTAATTTTTGTTTCCTTTGTCGATTATATTTAGCCAGAAAGTAACAATTGGCAACAATTCTTTTATGATACGTTGCATTGTTTTATTTTCTTATTAATTTATTACTTGACCACTGAACAATATACTATGCGAATTTTCGCACGGCCATACTATTTTATAATAATTGAATTTAATTATAAATCATACATTTTTAATATTTTTGTCCACAGACATCTTGGTTAGAGAAAGCTACCATTAAATAGGGATATGTTAGAGAAAAGTCAGGGAATTTTACTATGAATGTCTAATAGCATCCCTGTATATAGACATGTTATTATGTTTAAAATTGTATTAAGTTGATATTATGTTTTTTTTCACAGATCTGCTGCTATGGCTAGAAGAACATTAATAGCCACTGGTGGAATTCCTCAATGGGGGCGTGATTTACGAGTTGATTGGGCTATTCCCGAAGAAGATATCGATGAAGAAGTGATGTCTCAGGTACTTATGTCTTTACTGTGGCATCTAAAAATATTTGCACGAGCATATGTGTGGTATAAAAATTTTATTAAAGGATTTTTTAAATCAATAAATATATATGTTAATTAATTAATTGTTTATTAATTAATAATCTTTAATTAATAAAATACATAAAAATGAAATAATAAAAATAAACCACTGGTTGGAAATAAATAAAATCTTTCAAAAGTATTTATTGTACTTGTATATATTTTATTATATTTTTTTACTTACTTAATCCAGTCCTCTGTTACCGCTGAGCAGTGTGAGGTTCCTTCTTATAGAGCTTGATCCAAGAATCTCTATCCTGGGCCAGCTGTCTTTTCCTACTCCAGTCCATTCCTCTCCTGTCAAAGGCTTCTTTAACTCCTTCTTCCGATCTTTTTCTTGGTCTTCCCTGTGGCCTCCTTCCCTCCACTTTGACCTCGTAGGTAGCCCTGGCAATTCTGTTTTCAGCTATTCGCGAGGCATGTCCAAACCACCTAAGTTGGTTTTCTTGGATTATCTCCTCTGCAGGCCTCAGGTCCAGATTACCTCGTATAGTCACATTCCTAACGCGATCTCTTCTTGTTTTCTCCTCTATTTTCCTTAAATATCGCATTTCCATAGCTTGGATTTGGCTTTTGTGCTTAGCAGTGAGGGTCCAAGACTCACTTGCATATGTCAATATAGGGAGGAAAGTATTCTTGAAGACAATCTTCTTAGTGGCCTTTGAGACTTCCTTTTTGTCCAAGAAGCCTGACCTGAGGGAGTAGAAGCATTTTCCTGCCGTCTTAATTCTTTCTTTTATGTCTCCATCAACCCATCCGAACTCGTTAAGGTGAGCACCCAAGTATTTAAAATCCTTTACTTGTTCCAGGCGGATTCCACCCAGCCGAACAATCCGGTCTCCTCGGCAAAAATATATACATTATAAAAAAAAGTAATTTTTATATTTTATATATTTTTTAATATTTTGTTTGGAGTCAATTAGCAATTATAACTGTTTGCCAATAACTGCCTACCTATGCCTCAGCAATACGATATTCTTTTGTCTATATTTCTGCGAATCACTGTGCTCTGTGTGAGTGTTTTATTGCAATAGATTGCAATATAATAACTATATCACCACCAACAGAAATATTATATCACTGAGACATATCGCATTCTTTGTGTACGGGCGTAGAGACATTGATTGAGCTAAGATTTTTAATAAATTTTTCATTTCTTGATAAAGTTCCTGTTATTGACACTTGTAACTTAAATTTAATAAAATAAGCGTTTAGGTCCGTGTAGGATTTCGAACTTGGTGCCATTTCAAAAGTACATTAATCAGCCACTGATTCCCGTCAAGATGAAGTCTTTTTGGTAACAAATTAGATGGGAAGCACATATTTCTTATCACTTCGCTTCAGCTACCGGGACCTTATGGGTTTTGTTAAGAAGCTGGGATAAAATTTATCTATTTTATCTCTTCCTTTAATGTTTATGAACTTTGACCCACTTAGTTACCACTTCCTGATGGTGTGTTGTCATTTTCAAATATGAATTTTGATTAGAACAACAGTTATTAGGGGTATCAATAATTCTGTCTTCTAAATGATAAGTTCTCCCAATTATTGACACAAAGTGTATTATATAAACATGAACAGAAGAATATTGAAGAAGGCCATGAACAGAAAAACATGGAAGGAACAGAAATTTCGGCGGAAATGGACACAGATTGGACAATAAGTAAGTGTGATTTCATCAGAGTCACAATAGTTACCATAAGGAAAAGGCAATCATGGCTTCAGGGTTTCAGAAGGAAGCGTGGCTGCTAATCCTCTCAGAGCTTACATCAAACTGCAAGTTCGGAACAGGAATACATCTAGGAAATATTGAAATAAAATGAAAAAATATTTTATTATTCTGGGATTGTTGTCCCTTTAGAACAAATTATAAATACAGATTGTATGTCTGTATGGTTACAATTAGATTATATATTAACAATAAGAGTCGACTAAAAATAAAAATACTGAAGAAGAGAAAGGAAAGAACAAGGAAATTGTACATATATGTATATATATATATATATATATATATATATATATATATATATATATAAACTACTAACCTAACCTAACTAAAATAACCTAAATAAATTGAGGTAGTCTCTGGGGGTGCTTAGATATTTATCTTAAATACATTGTGCAATCAGTCGGATTGAGAAAGGAGTAGGTGTTTAAAGAGGAGAGGTTTGAAAGAGGAAACTAATTGAACGTGTCGAATATCAGCAGGGATGGAATTCCAGAGGGAGGCGGCTTGTATTGCAAAGGATTTGTCAAACGCAGCAGTTCGGTGAGGAGGATAGAGGTCGAAAATATGAGATCTAGTGAGACTGGATTGGATGGAGTATTTGAATTGCAAGCTGTGAAAAATGTAGGAGGGTCGATGAGTTCTAATGATCTGGTACAGTTGCCGTCGGAAAACTGCATAGAGTCACTTCCAACTCGGCATAGCAACTGGAGACGTGGGAGCACCTGGGGACTCCAAGTATAAATCTAATGAAACAATTCATTAGCCTCTTTTATCTGATCTGAAGCCCACTAGACAGTCCACCGTATACAAGGCAGGCATAATCGAAGTGAGGAAAAGTGAGAGAGGCAACTTGGAGCTGACAGATTTTAAGGGGCATAGAGTCACGGAATCTCAGGAACTGTTTGAGGGTAGCAATGGGCTTTTGGATAATTTGGGAAATATGATTATTCCAGGACAGATGTTGATCAAACATTACCCCAAGGTTTCTTACGGAAGTGTGGAAACGTTAGGGTATCCCAATGAGGAGCAGAGGATCATAAGAAATAAGGTTAATGAGATACGTGGATCCGATGAGAATGGCTTTGGTCGTCTAAATATTCAATTTTAAATCATTGTTCGCTGCCCAGATATTAATATTTATCCTTTTTATATTTAAAAGTTTATCCTTGCACTTATAGCAATAATGATGAATCATATTGCAATATAACAAACCCTAAAGCCTTCCTTAGTAAATAATTAACCCAAAAATTATTTCTCTTTGGTATTTCCTGTAATAATTTAATTATGATATATAATAATTGATTGTATTTCGCATCGTTTATTTTACAGGTGACAGTTGTTTACATAAGAAATTTGTTATTGAGGACAACTGAGATATCACTTAAGGAAGTTCTATGCAAAATAGTGACACCTGCTGATTTTACGAGAGTGAAGAAAGTTAAAGATTTCGCTTTTGTACATTTCAGAACACGAGAAGCTGCTGAGCTAGTCATCCAATTCATTAATGGTAATCTTTCATACTTTGCTGTCGCATTTGTAAAGTTATCATTTCTGCCTTATACTAGATTAATAAACACAATTCATTATTTTTTTTTCTAGGATTTATTTTAGATGGAGCTGAATTGATTGCTACCTGGGCCAAGCCGTCACCTTGCGATGATTTGGATGTAAGTTGTGCTTATTTTATAATGCTGATTAAATTTTATTTTTAATATAATATAAATTAATATAACACAATTTTTTTTTTAGGTATTTGAAAATAAAAAGGAGAAGGATAAGAAGAAAAAAACACCGACTAAAAAGAAAATAATAAACGGAAACAGAAAGTGAGTAATTTATTAAATTTAACATAACTTTTATTCGATAGTTTGTAATTTTATAATTTATATCGTTGATTTAAATAAACTGGTTGTATGACAGTACAGCAGTATCCTAGGCTGTGGAGGATTTATGATTTACACTCCAAAGGTTGCTAGCTATGGATGTGAGATCCACTTCACGAAATCAATTTATTGATAAAAAATACCAATAAATTTCTCATTTTACTTAAAGAAAAAGATTTAAGTTTTTAGATACATTTATTGAGTAAAACAGTTACATAATTTTTAAAAATAGACAAAATCAAAACAAAAAATATGTTGACAAAATTAGGAACTTGAACATTGAATTCTGTATACCGTTAAATAAGAACACAAAAATCACTGAATACTAAGAACAATTATAATAGAATTAAACTAAACTGGATAAAAAAATAATTAATACAAACATCATCTCAACTTGAACATCAGCCTCTAAACGCCTCCAATTTCTCATTGAGAGTCACATATGTCTGTTCTTAGTGAATAACAAGATCGGCAGTTTTTGACAAATTTCAAATATATTCTGGACAGATGTCACTCACTCTACTTCTTTACGTTGTTAACTTGTTTCTCTGTCATTAAATCTTAAGAATCAAATTAAAAATCGAAACCTTCGTACACTCATGGTGGGGCGAAATATTTCAATTCCAAACTTGGATTCAATTGTGCCACTTAAGTCCCACAAATGATCCATATGTTATAATATCCACAACTAATTTATTATATATTAATATCTATATAAAATCTACAACAAATTTTTTTCCCGGCTTAATGCATTGCTGCAATATATAATGCAATATAAATATAAAAACTTAATAAAGGCTTTGATTTCAATTATATCAGTTTCCATTGCATCCCTTCCCCATGAAAAATTTCCGCTTACGCCGTCAATCTTCAAGTTTTGGTTCAAAAATTGGACGCAACACAGTCACCTCACTACTGAATTGTAATAGTCCAAGAACCAAGATTTTGAATTTTAATCCAAATGATGTAATAAATTATATTTTATTCTTTCTTTATTTTCTTCAAGTTAGTATTTAACTCTAGAACGACACACTTAAATGTGTCAACTCATTCTGACACTCTGGAATGTGGTACACCCCAAACTTTAAGTTATCATAAAATTTAATTGTCATGCTTTGGAAAACTCAAATAAATTTCAAAAATAAGCTAAATGACCAGGAAAACAAAACAAAAAAATAAATTCAAGATAACCTTAGAGAATATATTTCATATGCTCTCATAAAGTAAAAAGTTAACATCTACATCACTGAAAAATCAAAAAAGGATCAATATTTTTTTCATTGAAAATATATTAAGTTTATATCAATTAAATATATATATTTGGAATGCAAAATATATATATAAAAAAGTAAAACAATTTTTATTTACTTAAAAAGATAATAAAATTTATAGTGGAGGACATTTAAGTAACTACTCGCAACAATCCAAGCAAACTGTTGCACTGTGTTCATTTCAGATAGGTCTGTTACATTGCTGACAAACAATTTTCGTCTTCCTATCTTTCCCTCTTGTTACTAAACGAATTTTTGGTTTGTAAGTGTCTTCACTTGCACTCTTCTTTTCAAACAGGGCTCAAGTAACTAATAGCCTAATCCAAATAAATAATTACTCCACGTCATCTTTTTTCTATTAACTAAGCTGAACAATATCATTCTGTTTCTACCAGCATGGTTCAACATTTCAAAGAAAAATCGAAGAGACAACCTCCTTATTCAAAGAAAAATCGAAGAAACCACCTCCACATAGCCCAGCTATTTATGATGTTTATTTACATGAAAAATCTTGGCCAAGCTTATATAAAAATAAATCAATAGTTAAAATGTTGTGGGGTGTGTCATTTAGGGTTAATAGATAAAGGTAGAGCTGGTAAATCAACCCCGGAATTAAAATAAATCACATCTATCCTTATCAGCTAATAATTATAAAACTAAGCCATCAGCATATTTTAGATTAAATTTATAATAATTAGATTGTCATTTGTTCAAATTTATTTAAATTGAAATAATTGATCATTCTATTTGTTGACAGATTTAACACAAATCAAATGTATCTTGATGACGTATCTTCCCCAGCTTTGATCTCTCCTTCACCACCGCTTGTTTCATCTTCACCGCCTCTGTTATATTCAACTGGTTAGTACTGCTTTCTTTTAATTATTATCAGATTTATGTTTGAAGTAATTTCTTAATTTATTTGTTCATTATATATGGTCTAAAAGTAAGATGGTAAATAAATTTTGTGTGATGTGTGAATCACATCTTATTTTTCCTCGGTCTAAATGTTTCTATTGTTTTGTTTCAGAGAACCTTTTGATCCCTTACAATCCACAACCTTTGTCTCCACCTGTGAATAACTTTGCTGTGTAAGATAATGTTTTTCAAAATTAATGAATGTAATATGATATAATTTATATTATCTATTTTTATTTAAAAGAATTTATAAAATTTCTTTGTTAGTGTTCCACTCGTGTACCCTGGAAACATGGAGTTCAAGGAAGAAACGTTGCAAGGGATCGTCTCTATGTACTTGCAGTTTTTTCAACCATCAGTAGTACGTATTAATTCAACATGGATTGTACTTAAGTTTGTTTTATAATTTTCATTATTCAGTCTTCGGGGTAGTAAATTTATTAATAAATTATTCGTATAATAATTTTCTAAGGTTTTCTTTACTTTTTAGTTTATTCTATTAATTTCATTTATTGTTTCAAACTTTTAGGCCAGTAGTATTCTTTTTTTTTGTACAATTTTGTTATTCTAAAGGGACTTAGTCCCAGAATAAAGTTTTTTTTTCTACCCATCTATCTATCTATCAATCAACCATCAATCCAGAAATAGAAAAAAAAATAATGTTACACTTTTTTATATGATATTTATTAGTTCTTTTTTATATTTTTCCCCTACATATTTATTATTTATGCAATATTTTCCCTTTATTTTTTTAAGTAGTTAAGCTTATATTTTTCAAAACGGTTTTCAAGAATTAGAAAGTAAATAGTATAATCTTCCTTTCCCCTTAATGGACAATGTTATTAAGGATAATGGCCTTACAAGATTTTTTAATAAAAAACATTATTAACACGATTAATAGCGCCACAACCACCGAACCATATCAGAGCTAAAAGGATATCAGTCTCACTGATAAGTGAAGGATCCATCATGATTGAAGTGATTCTTGTCAGGTTTGCGCCTCGTTCCTAATTGTCCTTGAGGGTCCGCTTTAGACTTTTTTTTAGTGGTTCTTTCTTTTTAGTCAAACATGTTGATAATCTTCATTTCATGGCTTTTTAAAACTCTTTAATATCGATATTTAATTTAAGGCATTGCAGTACATCATGTTGCGCCTTGGCTGGGGAGACGTCTATTACAATATCAGTTACAGTGTAGATCAGAACTCTCAGAGGACCTTTTCGGCCGAGGTATGTATTATTTTAATTTGTAAAAATATGTATTCATTTACAATTTTATTTGTAATTCACAAAAATATTTCATTTTAATTCACAGTAACTTAAAAGTTACTTGATTAAGACATTTAATTGATAAATACAGGAAACTTCTGGGAAAAGTAAGAAATTAAAATTTTGATCATTAAATTTGTTTGTATTGTATTAGGACAGTGAAGAGGATTAAATTCCAATGATAAACTTATAATCGCTGCCTCCAGGGTGAAGAGTTAAAGGCTCTTCCCAATCCTGTAAATAATGTGAGGATAATTAAAAAAAATACACTTTGACTAAAATGATCTTTATTTATGTGATTAAAACTTTTCTAGTTAAATCTACGCTGAATTTCCTCTAGCTTGATATAACTGCTAAAGGTCACGTCCAAAGAGCTGAATCTAACAGAGAACCAGATGCCAAAATATATGTGACTAGGATTGAACTGCCTCGGAAAATTTAGGGGCAGGCATTTAAAAAGTGCTCGATGATGTCATAAAAAAAGGGAAAGGGTTATATTCGTCATCTAGAAAAGTAAAAGGGTTAAAGTTTGAAAGGTCAATGATTAGATATGAAATGAAATGAAAATATGTTTTTATTGTCCTGGTACTGTTGTCCCTTTAGGACAAATTATAGTTACAGAAGAAATGCCTGTGTGGCCATACATTAAATTATATATTTACAAATCTCATTAAAGTTAAAATATTCAAAGAAGAGAAAACAAAAACAAAAAAATGCTAAAAACTGATATATTTATAAAACAAGCATGGGAAAATAAAATAACATAAGTCAACAAAATCCCTTTTCCCCTTTTTTTAATCCCTGGCTTAGAGAAAAACCTCATATAGCCTACAGAAAGAAAAAATTCTTATTGTCTATAGGTTTCACTGTATTATTATTTTAAGAAATTTAGCAAGATATCCTATGAAATCTTTACTATCACTTATAGGGAGGAACCTTTTATTTTATTTTTTTGTTCTTTTCTTTTTTTTTTCGTCAGTTTTTATCATTTTTTTCCAGATTATGATTATAAGACATGATAATACAGTTCACCGGCCAGCAGTTTACCATCCTTTAGCTTCGACGCCCATTGATGCTAAAGATTTTGCCGCACTTGTATTTATTAATGTATACCTTTCGGGCAGATCCATTTCTACTAAACTTTCCTTGACATAAGAATTTTTTTTTTGTGACTTAAAATATTGAAGTTAAAGTTCTTTATTGCATCAAAAGTTCCTATTATTTTTAAGTCATGTTTATTTCATTTTGATTTGTTTATGAGTTCAGTGTTGAATATTGTAGTTTTGTTAGATGATATTATATTTGCTATATAAATCTGTAATTAAGTTAGTGAATTATAAAATTATTGCCATAGATTGCTAATTGCATCAATACAGTTAAAAGTTTTTGTTACTAAATTTGCAGTTGATCGTTAAGCAAATTAGATTTTTTTTTCTCTTGATTTTACTCCCTATTATTAATTCATATATAAATTTAAAATTAAATTTCTTATTTATTTGCATTTATTGACTATGTTAATCATAAAATTTCAATTGTGTATTTATTTTGAATGTCTGAATCATGTATTATCTATTATTGTGATTATTTGCTAAATTTTATTTATTATTGAATTACCATTATTGATGTTAATGTAACATCTAATCAATACATAAAGTATTTATGTTCAAAATAATAATAATAAGTTCTATTTAACCATTAATGTATCTGATCTGATACAACAGACAAGATTAGCTGATAAATTGAGACTGCTCATATTTAAGCATAATGTAAACACAATTTTCTTTCAGTGAAAAAAATAGTATTAATTGTTTTATTAAGACTTAGGAGAGTCTCATGAAGTAAATTTTCCAGGATTTAAGACAAGATAATTTTTCTACGTTTACTGGAAAGTAAGCAATCATTTTATTTATTCACTAACTAATATTTCGATAGTTTAAACTTTATTTTATGAGCATTGTGTTCATATTTTTAAAAAAGTTTATTGACTTGTTTTTTTTATGTATAAGATGTCTACCTATACTTGCAAAGTATTATTGAATAGATAGAAGTATTGTTGAGTGTTATGTGAAATTATATATTATCAATGTAGTCAGTAATAAATAATTCTTACGATTAAGTAATATTCCTGTACAACAGGGTAATTATTATAGCAATTCTTATGATTTAGTAGTATTCCTGTACAACAGAATAATTATAGTATTTCTTATAAATTGTTATGTTCCTGTACAACATGGTAATTATAGTTCCTATTTACTATTAGTAAACCATTTTAAGTGTCTTTATATTTTTATATGATGTTGGCATTTACAATACATTTTTTATAAATATTTTTAAATTTGTTTTGTTCATCTCATCACATATCACTTCCATAGGTTATTTCTTTTCCTTAGAGTTACCTCTTTTTATCGCTTAACCTGACCATCCATTCATCTATGGATTGGTGTAATCACTATAACATAAATTATTGTAGTCCTATATTTTGGGCTGCCAGAAAACATGTGCGGGGAGTGGGGTAGCTCAGTGGTAAGGCACTAATCTTCTAATTCTCAAGGTGCCGACTAATGCCAGAAAAATTATTTATTCTGTTTCATCAGCTGATCCTGGTATCAGGAGACCCTCCTGGGGCACACCCAGTCTATATAAAATGGGTATCCTTAATTAAGGGGAAAAACCTGGCGGTTGAGTGTGATCTCAGTCAAATCACCTTACACAACCGTTCGTTGACTAAGAAACAGTACTTTCCACAGTAGAACAAATAAATATCTACATTTAATGGGTCTAGCTAACAGCGGTCACTGCCCAACAAGCCAATGCTTGGAGGATCCAAGACAAATTGCCTTCAAGTGCAAAAGATTCGAGAAGCGAAGAAGAATTAGTTTAGGATAGCAAACTACGGATGATGGAGCTAACTTTCTTTGATCGATGAATATCTAATATCCAAGTTCCATATAACTTACTTTCAGTGATCATCTAACTATAAATAATTAATATAAATCAAATGAAATTTCCGTGTAAAAACCGTAATTTCATCTCACTATGACAATTAAAATATTTTACTGGCAAAATAGGACTTGATTTTACAAGTCTTAAAGCCAAAAAAACCAGTACTTTCCCTAAATAGTACTGAATTCCTTGAGTACCCCACAGTACTGAAAGACACTTTATGGATTGTAGTGGTACAGGGTTATATGTTGTTATAGGGTTGTAGGTATTAGGCTGCCAGAAAACCTGTTAGCCATTCAATAAATAAAAACAAAACAAAAACCTTTCATTGTCTGTGTTTTTTTTTTTTTTTCAGGTTTCTTCTTCTTAGGCAACAGTGAAGTTTTATTTTTATTTTTTTGTATAAAATGAAAATTTTATATTTGAATTACATTCTGAATCACTATCAGCCCATAGCAGTTTGGGGTGGACACTCAGCCATGTTCCGTATAGTTTTTCATTGAGGATTTTCCTTAGAATCTCATGGGCATCCATTCTGGCCATATGAACTGCCCATCGAATTCTGCCGACCTTTACTATTTTAACATCTTCGATGAAGAATATGGTTCATTGTTTGTTCCGCTTTTCCATGTTGTGATCTAGTACACCACAAATATAGTGAAGAATTTTTCTTTCAAATATACATAGGTCTCTTTCATCGTTTTAAGAAAAAGCTCATATTTTGGATGTATTTGTAGGCCTGATTACTAACATATATATTCTTATTTTTATAGCTCTTGTAAACAGAAGTTGGAACTTTTTTAAGAAGTTTCATTTTGACAGTTTTCATAAAAAGAAAGTTAAAAATAAAAGTGTTATTGCTAAGTTCCAGGTTTATGGTAATGGGGCTTAGATTAGAGTTACAATTTATCTTAAATGAATTACTGAATTCCAATGTGTCGATTGAGTAGCTAAGAATAAAACTAATTTTTTAAATAGACTTTAGCAAAATAAATAATAATAATAACCTTTATTTGTACATACAATGCAAAAAACAATGGATAAAAGATAGGTATATACAAAATCTTTACATTTTGTTTTATACTTTACATTCTTATATGTACATAATCAACATTTTAGTTGAGGTTTTGAGTTTGATTTCTTTCTTCTTTTTTTTTTTTCCTAGCTGTCTTGCAACCACCTGTGCCGGTAATGAACCTGTCCCATCCGTTTCCACTCTTTCCTCTCCAATGCTACTCTCTTCCAGGCTGCACCCCCGCAGGTCTTCTTCATCTCCTTGTCCCAGTCTGTCGTCGGGCATCCTCTCTTCCTCACATGATCTCTTGGATACCAATCCATAAACTGCCTGGTCCATGTCAATCCATTTCTCCTGATTACATGTCCGGGCCAGGTCCACTTCCTGATGAACACTTTTTCCACAATATCTGGAAGGTCAGTCTTAGCCCTGATCCATTTATTCGCTTTTCTATCCCTTCGTGCTATTCCGAGAAGATATCGCTCCATCCCTCTTACGGTTATCCTCAATTTGTGACAAGTCTTCTGGTCAATTAGCCAAGTTTCACAACCATATGTTATGACAGGGAGTACTGTGCTCACCCAATGTTTTCTCTTGACCTCTGAGCTCACCGAGGATCTATATATATCCTTAAATTTGAAGAGTGCACGCCATCCCTGGGTACATTGTCTGATTATTTCTTCAGTTTGTCCTTTAATTGAGATAAGGTGCCCAAGATATAGAAATGTATCTACTTTATCTATATGGTGTTCGCCTATTTTTATATCTCCATCAACATTCACCGATATATACTTGCATTTTTTATAATTTATTTTGAGCCCTATGTTTTCTCCAGCCATTATTAATTGTTTTGCCATCGTTAGGATTTCATCTTTATTTTTACCTATTAGGACTTGATCATCCACAAACTCTAAATGGTTCAGCCACTCTCCAAAAATTTCATTCCTTTGTTCTGCCAATTCATAGTTTGCATCAAATCATGGAGAACTGATGTAAATATTTTAGGAGAAAGGGTATCATCTTGTCGTACATCTTTACAAATTTTTAATTTTTACTGTTCCATTTCCTGCTTTAGCAAAATCAATAGAACTTATAAATGAAAGTTTTTTTAAAATTAAAGTTCTGTAAAACCTGTACTTAAAAAGATACTAATACTTTTTTTAAATTCCTAAATAACAAAAAAAATAATTATCTAATGGTTCCAGTCCAGAAAACTGATGAAAATAAAACTTAAAATTTCATTTCAAACTCTGCTTGTAAACTTGGTAAATAAACTGCTTCCTAGTTGTCGACAAAATCCAAAATTAGCAAAGGGTATTCTTATTTCAGGTGAAGAGTTGTTATTTCTGTTTACTAAAGAACCCAGATATACAAATTTTCAAATATTACAATATATTTAGTATTATGAGAATCCACAAGGTCCATTTTTCTGGCAGATAACTCTTGACAAATTGTGTGTTTTAGGGTTAATTTACTTTAATAATATTCACCATATAGGCTTTCCTAGCTATCATATCCTTAGTGGCATTCTGTAATCTCACATTATATTATGCTTCCCTCGGATTAAACCTTCGATTCACTAGATAAATTTTTAGATGTGTAACGGGCTGATTGTTTTTCACAATCCCAGTGAAGAACCGACCGGCTACAGGGACCTAGCGACCCTGCGCACGTGAGCTCTTGATCTCTCCCACTTCCTTATTTTGGTGAGAATCATGTCCTTAACCTCATCCTATCACACCCCATTTTACTCCATTTTTTTTTAGCAGCATTTGTCAGTTGTTAGGATGCACTCGTACCTTATAACTGATGGTAAGTTTAATCAGCTTGACAGATTAGTCATGGCTTGATTGACCGATGTGGTTGGTCTTAGTGTATCCTTAAGCATGTAATTCAGATATAGTAACAAAAGAAGTTCAGAGAATTTCACTCGGTTGGAACAAACTTTAGTCACTTAAGTATATAATGAAAGGAGAGGTAAAAAAAAAACTAGCAGGCAGATCTTTGACAGTTGTATCTTTCCAGTGGTGACATATAACTGCTAAGCTTATTCTCTATCAAAAGCCCAAGAAAGCAAGAGCAAGAACTAAGCCAAGAGAAGGAAAATGGTATCGAAAGAAGTGCTATGAATGAGAAGAAAAACGTCAGGGGGCATCTTTTATGGTGCAAAAACAATATATGGTTAGAAGTTTTACATTATTTATTTTTTTATTGAACAGTGAATAGTACAATCTGCCAAAATTAGAAGTAGTCATAGAACGGACACCACATGACCTAAAAAG